CCTTTCAGCTTTATCTAGAGGCAATTGTAATAGGTACTCAGAGTATTCAAGTTAGAGTTAACTTGAAGTTGCCGCAACAGTTAGAGGCTGTGTGCCACAACGGGATTAAAGTTAATCCTAGGTTTACAAAAGTATTTTGTAAATGCAGTTTTTGGCTCAGTGATTTAGTGAAGAGTTTGGAAAAATCCTACTGGGAAGTAGGTCGTAGTTTTTTCACCTTTTGAGCTAGACGTTTTTCACGTAAAATCCTTGTGTTCTTTAATTTCTGCATTTATTATTCCGCAACAGTAGTATAAAGAACACATAGAAGAATCAGGTCCTTCTATAATCTGTGCACGCGATAAATTGGACACCACACAAATTAATGTAAAATTATTTGTATCTAATTTCTCATCTTTCTAGGAAACCAAAAGTTTGCAGCTTCTTGGTCACTTTATATGTTTGGTAAAATTATGTTTACACTCTCCATAACTTCTTCTCATTCAACTAACCAACATAAATAACATATAATTGATGTTGCTTATATGAACCAACATAAATGATAAAATTGTAATAGCAGGCTCTTTAATTCAACATTATCATTCTAATAACCTTTTAAATTACTAACTTCTCGAATTCCTCATTTAGTTGACATAAATTACACAATTGCAACAAATATTGAAAGATAAGGGGCAGTATTTAAGTGAAGGTAAATGGTCTTTCAATTTTATTGAATGTCTATTAACGTATTTGTACAAAAATATTTTTGAAGTAATGTGTGGTTGAAGGACAGTATTGACACTTAGTTTTTNATATATATGTCAAAATTGGCAACCCCATTGACTTTTGGTGGATCTGCTTTTCTAATTGAAATAAACACGGTCATAGCATGATCTTCGGTATCAATTCTTGTAGGGAGAAGCATAAGCATGGTGAAGTTGAAGCTTTCAGGGAATTGGGGATAAAAATGCCTCAGACTGCTAGTGAAGGATTTTGTGCAGATCCTTTTAGAGTTAAGGATATCAGTGGACTTGATAAGAGTGAAGGCCATTTTGCTGGTAATTCATCTTTTGCTGCACTAATGCATTTTAACAGCAATCCTTAGATTTTAAGTTCTCTTCTCCTTAATTTGGCGTCCTGATAATTCCATTATACTGAATTCAGCGCCGAGATTTGCAGTTACACTAGAAGAATAAATTTCTTCTGGATTTTATGCTTCAAAATTATCTGACGATTAAGGTCAAGAGTTAACTAATTCTTTGGACTAGCCCAGAACCATGCGTGGAGACAGATATTCCTATATAAAAATTTAAACAATTGAAAATCAAATAATGAAATGGCACAGAAGATCTGCACTTCAAGGATAAATAGTTACATGCAAGATACACCAGTCAACAGAAAATCTCTAAAATGGCATAACAAACTGCATCAATAGTTTAGCCCCACCAACACTCACACTGCGGGTTATTAGAGTGAAGGCCATATTGCTGGTAAAAGGTACAAGCAGATTTAACATTTCACATTCAACAATGACGTTTTTACTTTAAGAATATTAGACAGAAGATCTTAAAGAAGTCCAGACTCTTCTTCTCTGTCTTCTTTTTTGAAATTTTGGAAGAATTCTCAAGATAGAGTATACTCAAGGATCAAATAAAGGATTAAGCCGAATTAAAAAGAAGGAATGTCCATAAAAAATTATCTATTTCTAAGTTCCAAGTAAATAAGACACTCATCAAATGTTATTAGAAGAAGTACAAATATGTAATAGGAGTAGCCAACACCAGTACAGAAGGCGTGGCCATTGATGCCACTCATAAGCAAATAATTTGTAGTATTCTTCTCCAACAATATTCTCCAAAATCATACACAAGTTCTGCAATATTCGTCTCCAAGTCAAAGAAATAACCTTACCTCTTACAATCAAATAAAAGACGTGGGGAATAGCAGGATGAATCTCCATGTTCTGCAGATCTCGACTACGAATATTGCTCTCAAGGCGCCATACAGTTATGGTTGTCCCAACATTCAATGCATAATAGAAAGCCCCACCTGAAAATCCAAGAAAACAATGGTCTCCGAACACCATATCTTCATCTCGAGGCAATTCCAAACCCCAGAAACGGTTGTGGACTCTATCATAAGCAGTGATCTGTTGTCCGTAATCAAGCCAACAGAATACTCCATCGATGACACCAGCTGATGGGGATTTCATAGTCTTATAATTCCATTGTCTAAGAGGTCTTGCATCAACATTTAGGTTATTGACAGTCCACACATTAGTCTCAGAAGAGAAACATTCAACCGTTACAGAGGACAGAAAATCCCAATGGCGAACTACAGTAAAGGAGATGACATCTTTATCAGAGTCATCTACCTTACAAATAAATCCAACAGTTGGATCATTCGTCTTCATTCGAGGTTTAGGGAGAGCCAAACGCTGCCTCGTGGCAGGATTATAAACATAATAAACCCTTGTAAGGTCATTGCAAAGAAGAAAATCATTGGATGATGCGACAATACACACTCTCTTCTTGCTAAGAAAATTGACTGACTCATCCAAACTACCATCAATCACTAGTGATGATTCTTCTTCCTCGGACAAGAAGAAGAAACGAATTTTCGAACGTTCATAGGTATCCCGAGTCTGATAAAAGAAACCAATTAGATTTGGTTGAGGCCTCCATCTTCGAGAACGGCAACTATAAGACAGAGATGAATCAGCAATAAACTTTCGCCAATGCTTAGATACACACTTAAACCTTGCCAGAGATTTTGAAGGCAAACAATGCAATATGTTGATTGATTATGATGTCTTCGACCACACCTTTTTCGACTACACCTTTTTCAGTCAATTTGCATAGTCGCTTCATACTAATACTTGCAACAAATGCTCTGAAGCTGTCAAACTTTCGCTAACTTCGGCGGTGAACTTACGTACGTAGGTACATTATATATAGGAGTTGTTGACAGGGGATTCTATACCCGCCACTCCAGCGAAATCTTCAAATTTTTAACCCTACACACAACTCCCCCTTTTTCTTTTCATTTTGATTTTTTTTCTTTTTTCTTTCTTTTTGTTTTCTTTCTATATATCATGCATCTTTTTTCAGTTACGCCTTCATTTTTGGCTGCGAACTTCAAAAAATATTTAGTCATAGAATTTCCAGCTGTTTTAGGTTACATGGAAACATTCATTTAACTTGGGGACAAAAACAAGTTTTTTATTTTTATACAAAATAAAAATTCTGCAGTGACAAATTAAGGGGTATGTGTTCAAGAAATAGTTTGTGCAATTTGCCTCCACTTTTAGACAAATTGATAAGTGGTCTTTTTATATATAGGAAGAAAATATCCCACAAAAGGGATCACAAAACAAGGGCATATAATTATGATTAAAATTAGTTTATAAGGAGTATGTTCCCCATTGAAAACATTATTTTTACTTGTGTTGTTGGTATAAAGGATGGGATTCACTATTACAATGATATTTTTTCTAATGTTGTTTATAAATGTGAGTGATTCCCTATTAAAAATATTTTTGTGTTTTGTATTAATAAAATGATTCCCCTGAAATATTGGTCGTGAATGTAGGATGCGCCTTGTCCTAATGTAAAAGTGGAATAGAAAAAAAAGTCAAACCGAACTCATTTCAGTTGGATGAATATTGTATGTACGCACAAAAAAAAACCAAAGAAATCAAACTGAATCAATCAAAAACCAACTTAAATACGAACTGTATTAACTCAAAATTGTTCAACGGTTACATACCCTACTCAAACTCAAAGGCTAGGACAAAGCTTACGCTAAAGACAATGTTTATGGTGCATCAGCCTCTTTCAAATCTTGGATCCACCTCATTGTTATTTGGCACATGGTTTATCATTCCAGGTTGCAAACGGGAGCCTTGTGCATTTCCAGTTTTGGGATACTTACCATTTTCATTAATTGTCTCATAAGTTTGGTCCAATCTACAAGCTGTAGCTTGGTAGCAAACTCTGTAGTGTGTTGAACTCACCAGCCTTAGCCAAAGAGGTAGTTCGCGATGCAAACTATGATTTTGCAAACCGTGACCCTCCCCTTTCAGGATTCATCATATCCTCAAATGAAGGACTAGACATTGCATTTTCTTCCAATTGGCTCTTACTAGCGTGATTTGCATGAACTGTTTGCGAGGAAAATGCTAACAGAAACCTTCAGGCTTGATCTTTGGCAGCACTTATTACAGGGAGACGGAGAAGCATTGTGAAGTTGGAGATGACTTCAGGGAAGTGGTGATAAAAATCCCTCGACTGCTAGGAAAGGATAACATAACTGATTTCTTCCCTGTGCAGCTGTGCTTGCCAGGTTTGATTTAAAAGGAATACAGAAAGAGATGAAGGGTCTTATGCTGTCAGTTGACAATATTTTAGATGCTATCGCAAGTGAAAGTAAGAAGATGTTTCCGAACAGAATAGAGGTTGCAGTCCAGTAGAATCGGAGAAAGGATTTTCTGCAGATCCTTTTAGACCTAAAGAAGCAGGGGATATCAGTGGAATTGATGGGAGTGAAAGCCATAGTGTTGGTAAGTTCATCTTTTTCTGCACATTTTATTACTAGCAATGATTAGAATTTAACTTCTTTTCTCCTTAATTGGGTAATCCTGGTATGTCCTTTCCATCATGTTGTCTCTCAGAAGAATTCAGGTATTAGAAGAAAAAACTTATTCTTGATTATATGTTTCTAGTCCTATATATTACAACAAAGTACTTAAGGAAAAACAGATTCTAAGTGATCCAGGCAAAAAGAATTAGTGTCACCTCTCTCTTTTTTTTTTATCTCTTTTGAGTTGTGAAACTGGAGCTAGACTGATTACGATTAAGCTATCCATCGTCGGACAAGCTTTGAAGAAAGTATCCTCCAGCGAGTAGAATCAACATGATCAAGGTCTTGTCACTGGTATGAGTTCCTTCCTCTTAACTTCAGCTTGTGTTTTTATAACGTGCATTATTATTAATGGGACTGATACCACAAACACGATGATCGAGTGGATAATGGCAGAGCTTCTAAATAATTCAGTGGCATTGAAACCAAATAAACAGATTCTACAATGCTGCTACAAACAAAAAAGAAAATTCAATCAAGCAGCCATGACCTAAAGTTGACAATAGCTCAACCTTAGGTGAAATATATAGGAGAAGCAAAGAAATAGCCTAATAAGTTACTACTACATAATTTTACGATTGCTGAGCAGGCTTCCAACAAGAGAGAGCGTAAACTACACGTCCTTTCCATCCTTGCAGCATCCACTGGCTATCTTCATCCACTGAGAAGTCCTTGTGGTACTCCCGCCTCACTTTGTTGCTGACAAAGTTGACAATCTCCTGGTCAAGTGGCAGCTGTCTAAATCCAGCTCTCGCGCATCTAAGTTGCCACTGCTTGTACGTTTCAGGTCTCTCGACCCTCTCTGTTCCTTCACAAGCAATCACGTTCATAGCATCTCTTGCAAAAACCTCTTCCTCGAAAAGCTTTCTGTCCTCATCCTCACGGGGCAGGGTAGCCTCAAACATATCAAACAAAGTAGAGAAGTGAAAAAGCGCCTCCCTGAACCGTGTCAGAAAGAATGGAGTGTTGTAAGTCCCGTTCACCACTCCGTGGATGAACATATCAGGACGGATCCTCCTGATCAAATCTAAGACAACATCCCTTGGACTGGTTGGTACTACTGTCTCATCAGGTATGTTCCCTAGTCTATACAAACTGTTAACCACCAGAACGTCATTCCTGTCAATCTGAAGCTCTTCAAGCGTGATGCTTTCCCACTTCTTCGCTATGGCAATAAATTCGAAAGGAACATTAAATCTGTCACAGTACTTCTTTAGGCGACGCCCTGTATCCTCAACCCTCTCTGCTGGCCGGAAACCAGGCTGGGGAAGTTCGACTCCAGTAATGCGGAGCTTTATAGGTTCCCCATGCCTCAAGGCCGATAGACTTTGTATGAGACAAGGCCACTGGAAACCATATAAAATCCCAAAATCAATTATATGTATCGTCCTTGGTGCTCCTCCAGTAATCAACTTCTTGATATACTTATTTGCAAAAATGTTTGATATCAACTTGAATGGGCATGCCGTGATAAACGCCTTGTAAGCTTTCAAAATGTGAGCAGCTGATATCCTGCTGGACGCAAACGCTGTATATGATGCTGTTCCTGTGCCGGACAGGCGTGCTTCAAGGGCATTGGCAAGATAATGAGCCAACCTCTCTGTCTCATCCCCGTGGGATGAAGAGTGTTGTCTTATCCGCAATAGCAACTCATTAGCTGTTCGGGTATCATAGCTTGACATTGCCTGTGCACATTGAGTCAACAGACCTCTCAAATCCACAATTTCCTTCTTGCTGCTGCTATGCTTCTTACCACCTGATCTCGACCTTCCAACTTTGGTTGGTTTTTTAACTTCATTAGGCGGACCACATGGATTATTTGGACAAAGCAACAACACATTGTCATACATTTCCAATGGTTCAGATTCATCAGCAGCAAATGTGGCCAACTGTTTGTTACTCCTCTGGTGGTCATCATCTTGTCGATGGTGATTTTTCTTTTCCCTCAAACCACTAGAGCCATGATTTAGTCCATTAGAGACATCAGGCAAACTCTTCACTGAAACAGGGGATTCAAAATTCAGACCCGATTGAGGAGACTCAATAGAATAAGATGAAGTGTTGCTGAGATCAGGACAAGAGGAGGAAACCTTATCCTGTGGAATAATGGCGGAAAACTGGGGGGAAATAGTAATGTTTTCGGATCCGTGAAGGACATCAGAGAAGTATTTCTCAGCAGCTTGGAGAGCCATACAGTCACGGAACATACAGGGCTTATACTCCAAATCTTCCTCTTCCATTAGCATCTGGCTTATGTATTTGTACATTGCATCAGAATAGTCCCTTTCTCCTTCCCCTTCCTCTTTAGGAGAAGAATCTCCTTCTCGGACATTTGAAAGGACATAAGGGTAATCTTCAAAACTAGGACGATTGAATATTGTACTACCATTTTGTACAACAACATCTTCTCTTGAAGAAGGGTGCCTAAAAATGAAAGCATCTGCACCAGGAAAAAGTTGTTCTTGGAATATGGCTTCCATGGAAATTGCTTTAAGCTACTGAATTCTCAGATGTTTGATTGAAGAAAGAACAAAAAGCAATCCGAGAATTTTGTACCAAAAACAATGAAGCAGAAAATAGGAATATTCAAATGCTAGTGCAAGGAACTGAGCTAGCTACCTAGCTCCAAAAGGAGATATATAGATAAAAATCTTTAGCGATGCTGATGAATTAGAAGAAGATCCAAGTATTGAGCTTGGAAGAAAAGAAATGGAGTGGCTCTTTAAATATATACTGTATAATGGGAACTAGAAAGGAGGGAAGAAGGGTTCGAATATTCAATCACGAAACTGCAAGTTCCAGGAAGCAGCTGTTGCTGATGAACACAACCACTCGTGTAAATCTTGATTGGCTAAGGTAAGTTAGCCTAGCCAGTAACCGGTTTCCTGATTAGTTTAGTCTCAATGATTAGTATATTTTATATACTACGTAATTGGTTTCTTTTCAACTTTGTTTCTTGTATCTTTTGTGGAGCATAATAATATTGCATTCTTTTGAAAGAGTGGTGGGGGTTACTTAGGAGGGAACAATTTGACATTATCCGACCAAGGGTGAAGTATCCATACTGTGATGACTTCCTCCACTCTTGTATCTACACATGGCAAAAATCACTTTCCTTGTCGAGACTTTTGACTAAAATTCCTACTGTACTATTTTCATTTGCGACTATTCTCGAATATTGACTCTCCCATTTTTCCTTTTTATAAATTATCTTAGAGAACAAGTTAGATACCTTCTTTTTTTAATCATTTCATTTGATCTTTGTTTTAGCAAAATGTGAATTTTTTCTTTACATTTAATTCAATAATTAGAATCCGATATTAATTATGTCATTGTCCGGTCAATGTTTCTTCTTATACTACTATTGATTTAAGTAATTGTTTTTCATAAACTTTCATAAGGGAAAAAATTACTTCTTCCGATCCCCTTTAATTGGTTTTTTTTTTGTGGTCCACAATATTTGATATTTTCAAATATCAAGAAGGGATTAACTTCTTTTTTTTCAAAATTGTCCTTGGAGTAAAGAACATATGAGTATTTGTTATATTTCCAATGAACAAATTAAGATTAATATGGTCAATTTCATTGTTAATAATGCTAAAAGGTGAATTCTTTAATATGCGTGAAAATGTCCAAAAAAATAAATTAAGTGGACTAGAGAGAGTAAGAAGTACTCCCTCCGTTTACTTTTAGTTCTCCACTTTTAATTTTGTACTCCCTTTAAGAAAAATAAATAAATGAAGTATATATTTTATAATTTTACAATAATAGTATTTTCAAAAATCTTGGGGAATGAGTAATTAATGATAATGATAAATAAAAAAAAGAAAATTATCTTTTTTTTAATTTAATATAGTAGACAAGTAAAAGTAAAAATATATATTTAATACTCCTATAACATACAAATAAAAATGAACGAAGGAATAAGATACAAGAAATTAATGTTGTAACTAGTAGTCTAGGACTGACCGAGTGAGCGGCTGATTAGATTTTATAGAATAGAAAAAGAAATTGGGTTGAACATAATAATAATAGTAAAAAGAACAAGAAAATGAAGCTAAGAGAGCTCCTTGATGGAAGTCTTATAACCTGGACAGGGAGCAGCCGGTGAAAGTCAAAGCGTATGCCCCAAGTTCCTGGCGGCATTGACTGATCTCTGAAGCGGGCCCCACTTGTTCCGAGGAGATTTATTACAGCGAGATTTCCCAATTTAATATAGTATATTGTAATACTATGTCGTTTTTATCGTCATCTTGTAGCGAATTAGCGTCAGGCCTTGCGGAAGCATTTTGGTTCTCCTGCCACAAAGAACCAGCCCGCCTTGACAACAGGCCCTTGTATACATTTAATATTAATTTTTTTTTCAATAATTATAAAATTCATATGTATTTTTATTTGAAATGAAATACATATGAATGTGAGGAATGAAAAAAACATAGGACTGGAATTTATAAAGTACAAAAATTGAATGAATCGAACGTGTGAACTTTGCTATGTTGCTCGCTTGCATGGTTGATTGCATCCCAACTGAAATGAAAAAACCTATTAAATATTTGTGTATAGGGTGAAATATGATATGACACGTGATCATCTAAAGAAAAGACACGTGGAACTCTAGACGGGGATGACCGAACACCTAACGCAACCATTCCGCTTGTCATCAGCAATGGCGAAGCTAGGAAATTCAATAAGGGTGTTCAAATTTTGAACATCCTTTGCCAGTGGGCTATGCAAGGGTGTTCAAAGTCTATTTTTAATCAATAACAAGTAATATTTTACTTTATACATAATATAATTTTTCGTCGAAGGGTGGTCAGTTGACCACCCTTGGGCGAACATAGCTTCGCCCCTGGTCACCGGAAGGGTTAACGTTCATAAAGGTGTATTAAATGCTCTGCGCCCGGTAGCATTTAATAAGGAATATTCTACAGCATTAAGAGCGACGGCCCATTATAGAGAATTTGACATTTATATTCACCGTTACATCTTCATCAATGACCCTCATAATTGACATTAAAGGAGGGCACGATCTTAGGACCTCCTTCCCTAGACACAACTATAAATAGTGAGCCTAGTTATCATTGTAAAGGACACAAATTTTCTGGCAAAACTTACACCACATTCTATACAAAGCTTAATACAATCTTACTTTTTCGCTTTTTGATCTCATCATTGTAGTGCCCAAAAACTTTATCCCCAGAATTGTCATCTCTACTGTTTCATCTATATTTTAAGGCTAAGTATTGTACATTTCTTCAATTATTACATTATTTTAGGATCAAATTAGTTCACTTATTTAGAAACCACGTATAAATTTAACTGTACCGTTTTACGGGTAAACAGTTTGGCGCCCACCGTGGGGTCTAGACAACCGTGCAATTAAATTGATCCTTGCCTTTTTACTAAAGTGATTTGATTATTTTGTTTTAGAACAAATCACAAAAATGGCAGATAACACTGTTAACAACACGTACAACCCTGAAATTCGAGGGGATCGGCCTCATTTCGAAGATTCAATCAGTGACATCCGCAATGAGGGAAATGACGCCACGCTGGTGCATGACAGGCAGAACCCTCGACAGGTTCGGTAGACAACTCCCGAAGATGTTGATGAGCAGCATGTCGTGGATGCGGTGAGGGTCCTGCAGGAGCAACATGCGATCATTCTAAGCCACCTCACGCGGTAGGATAATGTTATGACGGAGCTAAAGCAGGCGCTATTGGGGACTTCAAATAATGCAAACAGACGAGATCCAATTCCTCCCGGTGTTCCTGCAAACCAAACAACGCAGAGAGTCGACAACAACACTCCTGGGGTTGAAGTTGGCTCCGGCGGGGCTGGGGGGAACAGACCTAGTCTCAATAACGAGAACGACCAGTTCAAGAATGAACTTTTACGGTTTATGAGGAAAGTAAATGCCCGCATGGACTAGATTCCGGGCGCGCCACCAGTATTGAAAGGCCTGGACTCGGAGAAGTATACTCAATTGTCGTACAAGCTGAGTGCGGCACCAGAACTAATCCCATAAAGGTTCAAAATGCCTGAAATGCCAAAGTATGATGGGACTCAGACCCACAAGAGCATATTACCACCTACACAACGCCGGTAAAAGGAAATGATTTAGCTCCTCACAAAATTGAATTTGTGTTGTTAAAGAAATTTGGAGAAACTCTCACGAGGGGAGCTCTAACATGGTATTCATTTTTACCCGAGCATTCTATAGATTCCTTTGAGATTGTAATACCCTATATATTAATAAGGGCATATAAGTCTTTAACTAAAGTTTTAAAAAAAGAGAGGATAATAGGAAAATGGGATAAGCCCACTAGAAAAAGAAAAAGGAAAAAGGAAAAAAAAAGGGGGAAAAAGGGGACGCAGCAAAGCGGCTGCTAAAGAAAATAGAAGCTAAGCCTTAAGAAAGAAAGAAAAAAACCATAGAGGAGGAAACAAAGGAGAAGAAGAAGAAGAAGAAGAAGAAAAAAGAGGCTGGAACCAAACCTTGGAAAATTTTAAATACGTACTGGTTCTTATGTGTAATACTCGAATTTCTCATCTGGATTCTTTTCTTTTGGTAATTCTTTTTATATACTTTATATATTTGAAGGGTTTCACAAGGTATAAGAAATTTAATAGCAATAACAATTATACTGGGCAAACTAGGCAATTGGAAGTTGGCTCAATGCTACTATAGGATAAATTCACTTGGAAAAAGAAGGGTAGTGATGTATTTGTACTTAAACTAGTCTCATTATATATTATCTTTGTTAGGATAAATTAAGTTATGATACAAGGATTGAATTTTTAACTGTATTGCAATGGACAATATTAAATATGGGTTTCTGTGGAGAACTAATCTAGTTCATAAAGGATATATGATTCAGGAAAGAGGAATTTGCAGAGAAATATTTTATTAGAGCCATACGTAGTCTAATAACTGATAATTTAGGTGAAACCAAGACGTGGGTTATCATAGTAGTAATCTGCTACTACTTAACTTTATGAATTATAGGATTAGTGGGTGGTGACATTAAACTTTAAAATGATTTATAGATTCGTATACGAGCTGAGCAATTTGGATTTGACTGGAAGTTAAGCTTTCTTTAATTGACATCAAGAGGTGAATAGTAACCTTACTATAATTTGGGTTTCTACAACTAACATGATTTATATATGATTTTAATATGAACATGTTACTAACTGTTTTGAATTTATATGTGGGACAAGTCTTTTACTTGATATGGTACTGAATGGTTTACTTGAGATGTTTATAGTTATTTAAAAAGGTTCTCACTATTACTAGATATGTTTTACTGTCACTTGATATATGATTACCGTTACCGGAATTTGGATTACATGATTTGATAAGAATTGAAATGCTCTGTACTATTTTGAAAATGCTTCCACGTGGATATTTACTGTTTTCAAAGAAACGTATAAATGGGAGGAGACTTTGAAGGATCCCGTAGCTAATGGCGGGTTCGTTAGACCTGGTGCACCTTGTATTTATCGATTACCGAGTACAGTTATAGCTCTCGCTAGTGAAAAGGTAGAACTAGCATACAGTTATAGTTTTTCCTCGAGTAGGGATCTACAGTTATATTTGACTCCTTTTACGAAGGGGTCCACACAGTGATACAGATTACATGATCCTTTCTTGGAAACCTACCAAATATAAAGATTTTCTATGAGAAAGTGTTTACTGAGTTTATTACCGATTTGTTAAATTGATTTCTGTTATAGGAAGCACATGAAAAGACGGATTACATTTACCGTTTTAGAAAAGGCATTCTTATGATATTTTCTATTTGATATACTAGCATATTTTCTG